GAGGATAAGAGTTTGGGTAAGTACTACTTTATTGTGACTTTTAACTTTTATTAAAGTTGTGGTTTGCTTTTTACAGCTGTTTGCGCTCCCACTGGTTCTGGCAAAACAGTTTTGCTTGAAATGGCAATTGTTCGGGAGCTCATGAAAATTGATTGTGGTTTATCTGCGCAAACCTCTTTCAAAGACCTGCACATTCTCTACTTAGCTCCTCTTAAAGCGATTGTTGAAGAAAAATGCAATGATTGGCACAAAAAGTTTTCCTCGTTTGGATTAAAATGTTTCGCTTTAACCGGTGACACCGAGTTTGACGACTACAGTTCTGTCCAAGTTTTCTCTTACACTAACATCAACATCATACTCACTACACCTGAGAAGTTTGATCACGTTATTCGAACTGATCCCCGAAGTCGAGAGCTTTTGCGAGTTCTCAAGTTAATCTTGATTGACGAAGTTCACATACTTTCTGATCGACAGCGAGGTAACTAGTTGTTTTGTTTTTTCTGATGTTTTTCTTATCATTTTCCAATTTTAACTTTTAGGAGATGTCCTTGAAGCGACCATTACGCGAATCAAGGCTCTACGATCTAAACACAATTCTTCATCACGTAATGATTTAAAAGTTTTGTTTAAAAGCTGTTAACAAATTGTTTCACATTTCAGAGTTGGTCTTGCCGCCACTGAGATTCATCGCCATTTCTGCCACTGTTCCCAACGTAAGTGACGTTGCTGCTTGGCTTGACAGCTCAAACGGAATGGGCGTAACGATTTCCCAAAATTTGCGACCTGTCAAACTTGAAAAGATCGTTTTAGGGTATGACCCTATTCCTTCAGCTCGAGCTTCGGAGTACCGCTTCGAAATTCAGTTGTCCTACAAAGTGGAGGCCATCATTCGTGCTCACTCGGACTCCAAGCCTGTTATTGTGTTCTCTTCAACTCGAAAATCTGTTGAGTTTACAGCCAAAGTTTTGGCGGCTTCAAATGAAACCTACTTCTTCAGCGACAACCACCGTGATGAGTACTTCAACGAAGTTTCTAAGCTCATCAATGCTAATTTTGATATTTCAAGTGGTTTCATTTACGACAACGAGAGCTACTTTAAAAACGTTGATCTGAAAACGTGCTTGGCTTCTGGTGTTGGCTTCTACCACTCGGGCATGGATCCTGCCGAGCGTCGTTTGCTAGAAAAACTGTTTGCCAAGTCGCTTATTCCAGTTTTAGTTTCCACTTCATCATTGGCAATGGGAGTCAATTTGCCCGCTCACATGGTCATCATCAAAAATACCGTGCAGTACTTGGCTGGAAAGACAATTGAATACGACTCTGCTCAAGTTTTGCAAATGATTGGTAAAAACAATACATTCATTCTTATTTTGATTGTGCTAATTCGCTTCAATTTAAATTTTTAAGGTCGTGCTGGACGCTCTCAGTTTGACGTCACTGCAAAAGCAGTCATAATGACGGAGACAAGCAAGAAGAACTTTTACGACACGCTTCTGAACTCTGATAAAGCAATTGAAAGTGTCTTGCCGTTAACCTTAATTGAGCAACTAATGATAGAAATTGTTCTCCGCACTGTGACAAGCATCGAGACGACCGTCGAATGGATCTGCTCTACATTCATGTACATTCGAATTGTTTCCAATCCTTCTTACTACGGTAGCTCAATTGCCAAAGGAGACATCAAAGGATCACTTCCATTCATTTTCAACTGGTCTCACGAGAACATCAACAAATTGGCTAATTTGAGTCTTATCAATATGAAGCCGGAAAGTAACTCTTTTGAGCCCACTCACCTCGCTCGCATAGTTACTCGCTATGGAATTTCTATCAAATCAACCGAGCTGCTCTTCAAAATGCTCAAAGAGGGCTTTAATTTAAAAATGCTTTTGGAAAAACTGAGTGAGTGCCAAGAGCTGTCAAGTGATATCATCCTTCGTGTGTCAGAGAAAAAGTTCCTTAACGAGTACAGCAAAAGTCTGCGTTTCAAGTCAAAAGATAAGATAAAAAACAGTTCAATGAAAATTAACTGTCTTCTTCAGGTAAGTGTAATTAATAGTTTTAAAATGTATTTATAATGTTATTCTTTTCAGGCTACATTTGAGTCCATTCAAATTGATAGCACTTTAACTCAAGATTCGTCTAATCTGGTTCGCCGTGGCCAGCGAATTACCAAGTGCTTTGTTGAAATTTGTCTGTATTTGTTTAGTTTGCCCAAGTATTCAAGCTTAAAAGAAAAGTTTTCCTGTCAAGAGATGCACTTTGAAACGATTGCATCTGCAGTTTTGTTGTCAAAGTCTTTTCGCGCTCAACTTTGGCACGATTCTAAATTTGTTTCAAAACAACTTTCCGAAATTGGGCCAGTGCTAAGTCGCACTCTAGTGGAAAAAGGGTACGATTCATTCGAGAAAATTATGGACGAAAATCCTCGTAACATTGAGTTTTGCCTTCATCGAAATCCACCATTTGGATCGTACTTACAAGAGGAGGTAAGAAACCGTTGCTTGTGTTTACTCGCATCTTTTAACAAACTTTTTTGTGTAGATAAAATCGTTGCCAAATTACGATTTGAGTTTGACCAAAGTTGATCTTTCATGCGATTTCAAGTTTTTGGCCAATCAATCAATTCAATCTTTGTCTCAAGTTCGTCTTGACTTGTCTATCAAACAAGGAAGCTCTTCTAAGCCTTTTCTCAATCCGAAAAAACATTCTTGCATTTTAGTTGTTGGCTGCCAAGAATGCAATTACCTACTTTCATTTGAGCGAACTAATGATGAAGTTCTACAGTCGTGCGGCGCCATTCTGAAAAACATCATCGTTGTTCAGACAAAGTTTGCCTATGCCAATGATTCATCACAGTCAAAATCATTGGCTGAGTCTCCAGAGTTTGAGGCTCTGTTTGAAATGAGCTCTCAGATGACTAAAGGCAACAAAAAGCAGAAAATTTCCATCCCTATGCCAGCTCCTAAAAAGACCAAGATTGACCCGTCAAATGTTGCTCAAATCAAGCGAGAAGACACTTCAGAGTTCTTGAATTTTGTCAACAAAATGACCGCTGCTCAAAATGAGGAGTTTGTTAATCACTCGAAAACCAATCAGTTTATCTTTCACTACACCTACGGCAACCACCAGCGTCACACTATTCAAGCCATGTTTGTTTCTGAGTCTTTTGTTGGCCTTGACGTTGAGGCCAAACTAGCTTTGAGCTTCAGCACCACTGTTTATCCTAAATCAAAGCGACAGCTCAACTCAGTGCAGCAGACTCTCATTTGCAAAGACAATCAGCTTCGATTTTCATCATCAAAAGATGAGCATCAAATTGGCTTAGCCAGCTCATCAAGCTCAATTGTGAACCCCTTTTCAAGTACCGTCAGTTCCATCAACCTGACAGATCACGAGCTCGTGTCCACTCTGAATGACACAATTTTTATTACTGATGAGGACGAAAGCGACAACACTAATGAAGTGATATCGGTGAAAAGCGAAATCAACATTGCTAGTGACATTTCTTCTGCCCAAGTGCCGAGTACTCCATCGGAAGTAAGCCAAGTTGACAATGGCAGTCAGTATGAATCAGCTAGCTACATCTACTCAACACAAAAAAGTCAACGAGATCGTCGCAACTACTTTCCCACTCGTGTGTTGCCCTCTCAGGAGTACACTGCCAGTCCGTATTTTGCCAAGAAAGCCAATAAGTAGGCAAACTTTGTTTTTCATTTCATTCTAACTACACAACTTTTTTCCATTGTTAACTTTACATTTATCATTATCATCTTTTTGAACCTTTTCCACTAAACTACAATTTTTGTAAATACTTCACTTACTGACATTAACAGTTTACAATAAATACAATTTTTCGTTTATCACTTTAAAATTTTTTTGAGTTTAGTTTGGAAAACCAAAAGTGCACTATTGAACGCAATGGCAGAAAAATCAGTTTTGCAGAATCAAAATGAAAAAAATTTCAAATAAGAAGTTACATTTATTGTTTAGTTCATTTGTCAGTTTGTGTGTTATAAAAACTGCAAAAGTTGCAGTTCAGTTTAGAGAACATGCTTTTTTGTGCCTCTTTACGGTTTTATTATTATTGTCATCGTTTAGTATCGCCTCATTTATCGACCGTCTAATTTGCAATTTAATCTGCCAAGGCAGACGAGTTTGCCCGTCTATTTGTCTGTCGTTTGGCAAATGAGCCATTTAGTGCGGCACGCCACCGAAAACTATTCGCAGGGTGACGCTGGTGATTGATTTTTTGTTTTGGTTACGTTTGTGTGAATGACCCACCCCCTTTTACGCCTGCTGACTGAAGAAACAAGTGGAAAAAGTGGAAACTTTAAGAAACCAGTATGTTTTTCAAATTTTTGTCAAGTTTTTCAAGTCTAGAAAGCAATTTGTTCCTAAACTCAGAACTGTAAAGTATTAAACGAAAAAGTGAATTTATTGTAAACTGGTAATGTCAGTGAATAAAGTGTTTTCAAAAATTGTAGTTCAGTGGAAAAAGTTGGAAAAAATGATAATGATAAAAAGTTAACAATGGAAAAAAGTAGTATAGTTGGAATGAAATGAAAAACAAAATTTGCCTACTTATTGGCTTTCTTGGCAAAGTACGGACTGGCAGTGTAAAAGTTTTGTGTATGGAAATAAAAAAACAAAGTGTGTCAACAGTAAAATCAGTGTAGTCGATTAAATCGTGATAGTACCGGCTGAGGATAAACAGTGGTGCTAAAGCTCAACGCTAGTTTGGCTTCAACGTCAAGGCCAACAAAGGATTCAGAAACAAACATGGCTTGAATAGTGTGACGCTGGTGGTTGCCGTAGGTGTAGTGGAAAATATATTGGTTTAAAGGACTTACAAACTCTTCAGTTTGGGCAATGGTCATTTCCTTGACAAAATTTGAAAACTCTGCAGTGTCTTCTCGCTTGATTTGAGCAACATTTACCGGTTCAATTTTGGTCTTTATAGGAGCTGGCTTAGGAATTGAAATTTTCTGTTTTTTGTTGCCTTTAGTCATCTGAGAGCTCATTTCAAACAGAGACTCAAACTCTGGAGAGTCAGCCATTGATGATTTTGACTGTGGTGAATCATTGACATAGGTAAACTTCGTCTGAACAACGATGATGTTTTTGAGAATGGCGCCACGCGATTTTAGAACTTCATCGTTAGTTCGCTCAATCGAAAGTAGATGATTGCATTCTTGGCAGCCAACAACTAAAATGCAGGAATGTTCTTTCGGATTAAGAAAAGGTTTAGAAGAGTTTCCTTGTTTGAAAAACAAGTCAAGACAAACTTGAGACAAAGAGTGAATAGGTTGATTGGCCAAAAACTTGAAATCGCATGAAAGATCAGATTTTGCCAAATGCAAAGAGTATTTTGGCAACGATTTTATCTGCACAAAAAAGTTTGTAAATAGCTGTAAAGTAAGTAAACAAAAGCAACGGTTGCTTACCTCTTTTTGTAGATTCGATCCAAATGGTCTTTTTTGTTGAAGGCAAAGCTCAATGTTACGAGGTTTTTCACTTATGATCTTCTCGAATGAGTCGTATCCTTTTTCCACTAGAGTGCGACTTAGCACTGGCCCAACTTTAGAAAACTGCTTTGAAACAAATTTAGAATCGTGCCAAATTTGAGCGGCGAAAGATTTTGACAACAAAACTGCAGAGATAATTGTTTCAAAGTGCAACTCTTGACAGAAAAACCTTTCTGCTAGGCTTGAATATTTGGGCAAGCTAAACAAATACAGACAAATTTCAACAAAGCACTTGGTAATTTGCTGGCCACGGCAAACCAGATTTGACGAATCTTGAGTTAAAGTGCTATCAATTTGAATGGACTCAAATGTAGCCTGAAAAGAATAATATTATAAATACATTTTAAAACTATTAATTACACTTACCTGAAGAAGACAGTTAATTTTCATCGAACTGTTTTTTATCTTGTCTTTTGACTTGAAACGCAGATTTTTGCTGTACTCGTTAAGGAACTTTTTTTCTGACACACGAAGGATGATATCACTTGACAAAGCTAGGCATTCACTCAGTTTTTCTAGAAACATTTCCAAATTAAATCCCTCATTGAGCATTTTGAAGAGCAGTTCAGTAGACTTAAAGGTAGCTCCATCACAGTTAAAAACCATTTTGTAAAACGTTTTTTTGCTTTCTTGTGTCATTATGACTGCCTTGGTAGTGATGCCAAATTGAGGACGCTTAACACATTCTAAAAAATTAAATCAAATCAAATCAAATTATAGCACAATTTAAACTCAAAATGCCAATTGCCAATTTTTTACCGATCATTTGCAAAAATTGAGCCGAATTGTACTCAACCGTCTTTCTTCCATCTAAAAATTGCACCGTGTTCTTAATGATGACCACATGAGCAGACAAGTTCGATTCCATTGCCAATGATGAAGTTGAAACCAAAACTGGAATAAGCGACTTGGCAAACAATTTTTCCAGCAAACGACGGTCGGCAGGATCCATGCCCGAGTGGTAGAAGCCAACACCAGAAGCCAAGCACGTTTTCAGATCAACGTTTTTAAAATAACCTTCTCTGTCGTTAATGAAACCACTTGAAGTATCAAAGCTTGCATTGATGAGTAAAGAAATTTCTCTGAAGTACTCTTTACGGTGGCTGTCGCTGAAGAAGTAGGTTTCTTTTAAAAACGTTAATGTTTTTGCTGTAAGCTCAACAGATTTTCGAGTTGAAGAGAACACAATTACAGGCTTGGAGTCCGAGTGAGCACAAATGACTGTTTCCAAGTGGTTAGTCAGCTGAATGTCAAAATTGTGCTCCGAAAAAGCTGATGGATTAGGGTCATATCCCAAAACGACTTGCTCAAATTTTTCTAATGGTCGCAAATCTTTGAGATTTGTAATGTCCGAAGAACCGTTAATTCTTACAGCGGCGTCATTAACGTTGGGAACAGTGGCAGAAATAGCGATAAATCTCAGTGGCGACAAGCACAACTCTGAAATGTGAAACAATTCGTTAACAACTGAAAAACAAAACGTTTACATCATTACGTGATGAAGAACTGTGCTTTGATCGTAAAGCTTTGACTTGTGCAATTGTTTCTTTGAGGACAATTTCTGAAATTTAAAAATAGTAATTGATAAAAAACATCAATTGAATCAAACAACCAGTTACTTTGCTGTTGATCCAAAAGCATGTGAACTTCGTCAATCAAGATTAACTTGAGAACTTGCAAAAACTTTCGACTTCGGGGATCAGTTCGAATGACGTGATCAAACTTCTCGGGAGTTGCGAGTATGATGTTTATATTAGCGTAAGAGGTGACTTGGACAGAATTGTAGTCGTCAAACTCGGTGTCACCGGTTAAAGCGAAACATTTTAATCCAAACGAGGAAAACTTGTTGTGCCAATCATTGCATTTTTCCTCAGCAATCGTTTCAAGAGGAGCTAAATAGAGAATGTGCAGGTCTTTGAAAGAGGTTTGCTCAGATAAACCACAGTCCATTTTCATTAGTTCGCGAACAATTGCCATTTCAAGCAAAACTGTTTTGCCAGAACCAGTGGGAGCGCGAACAGCTGTAAAAAGCAAACCACAACTTTAATAAAAGTTAATAGTCACAATAAAGTAGTACTTACCCAAACTTTTATCCTCATGAATCAACAAATCAAAGAGTTTCGTTTGGACTTCATTAAAGTACTCAATGTTAGAAGAAAACACCGGTCGAAAAGTAGCTGGCAAACTGTTGACTGAGAAACGGTAGTTATCAGAGTTAGGCGACGATGCCTGAGAACTGGTGGCCTCCTGGCCATCGTTATCTGAAGACATTTTCAAACTTGTCAGCAGTGTCAAGTGAGTAATTAAACTTGACAAAGGTGAAGATAGTTATCAGAAAGGTCAAGGACGCGTCGGCGTCGGCGAGAGAAATAGAACTGAGCGAGCTGACAGAAATCGGTTTCGGGTTCTATTTTGTCAGCGACGGCAACTGAAGCAGAGACAGCGGCGAGCGCGCCTGCGCATCACAACACCGAGCGAGCGAGCGATTAGCCAATCAGATCAACCCAAATCTTTCTGGTTCTCTCTGGACTCACACGCTGCTTCACAGAAAGCAAAATTGATGAGAAGAGAAGAGCATCCAAAACAAACGTTACCAAAAAACACTTTCACAATAAAACAGCCGGTTTTTGCACCTTTTGTCGTTTACTTGAAAGTAGTTTTGCGCAATTTTAATAGGCTTACAGTTTACTTTTCAAACACAAACAACAACACGTTTTAACTGACAAACTTATCTTTTTGTTACAAACTAGACAATTAGAAAATGCATGTTTTTTAAATGCTTAGTTTTGATAAAGTTGTCATTTTGAGCTAATTCTCAAACTAGTTTAACTAATCAGTTTCAGTTTTTTAACTAAAACATAAAGTTTTTGTTTGCTGTTTTGTCAATCAATTGTTGTGTTTGTTTGTTTACAGCAACTTTGCTAATTGCCATTACTTGGTTATTGACATGAAATAGCATTGTTTTTGAGTTGCCTGAAAACTAACCCAAAAACTTTGTTTGAACATTGAGTCATTGTCTTGAAAGGAATTTTGCTTTATTCAGTGCAATTTTTGTAGATACAAAGTTCAAGCGGTAGTGCTGTTGACAAGTTCAAAGTTTCCGTTGTTTGTCGATATAAGAACCCTCTGAATAAACCTCTTTGGCAACTTAAAGCTAATTGTGTGCAGTTATGTTTAGCTGTTTGTGTAACCATAAACAAACAAATCGTTTCAGTTTTTGCATTATATAAAAACAAAACTAGCAAGTTATAGTTTAAAAACATAGTTTCATTTCAATCAAATTAACCGTGTTTAACACTCTGAACATCTTTCTTCTGCTAAATAATAATAATTTTGTATTGTTTATTGTTGTTTATTGCCAAAGCAAACTATGTAAACAAGTGTTATTACACTTTTCCGGAAACCCAGTAATGAGAAAAAATGTATTAAAGAAAGTTTCAGTTTTTGATGCAGTTTGCGGTTGACTGTCATTACTTATCAAATAAATTTTCATTTGCTGTCATTTGCTTTGATGGTAGGTCAACCGCCAATTGCCAATTTCTGTTTGTGTTATTCATTTACTTTGTGAGTTTTTCTACATAAAACAGATGCATTACAAAAAATTTTTGTCATAATGTTGTTTTACCACTCAATTCTAGCTCTGATTATATAAACCAGAACATGAAACAATGATTTTTATTCAAACTGAAAAGATTCATTTTGTGCGATTAGATTTTTTTGGTGCTCAAGCAGTTTTGCGATTTGTGTTATTGCATTATAAAATATTAAACCAATTTTTTGTCATTTTTTTGTTTTTGTGTTCACCACTGAAGTGCATATGACTGCATTACATCAGTTGTCGTTTTAGTTGCTACCAGTCAACGTGTTTGTCTTTTCCAATCACTATGTTGTCTTCATCGGTTGATAAAGTGCAGTTGATGTTTATATCTTGCCACTGTAAATATCATTAACGTCAATACATTTACTAAATGGTCAATTAATCAGCAAAACAACAGAAGCAACGCACACTTTTCGTAACGGTTTTGTGAACAGAGAACAGTTGTTATTTATGTTGCTTTTTTTAATGACAGTTGATCACTAGAATAAGACATCAATGTGCTTTCCACTCTTTCTTTTTTGTGCCAAAAATAACAATGAAAAAAATGAATGCCCTCTTGTGTGTGGCAAACAACTACTTTACTTTAGAGTAAATGCAAGTTCAGTCAGATTACTACAACTACAGCCGGATCAGGGAGAAAATTGAACGTTCTGCTATCGCCCAACACAGTATTTTATGTAGCTGCAAAGTGTCGCCATATCATTACGCTTACAAACATCATATTTTACGCAGAGTGAATTTACTTTGCTTAAATAATTTTTTCTATGCAAACAAAGACAGAAAAACTCTAACACACAAAAGTGTTCATTTTATTTTTAACCCAACCAAATGATCACCATCCAGTAAAGCAGAGAAGCGGCAATTGACGGCAGAGCAGCAGATATTTGAATCAAGTCAAGTAAAGTCTACAGTCGATCAGCCAAAGTTTCTATTCTGCGCCACTCTTGTTGGTACTGTTCTAAATTTAAATATCACACAAATCGTCTATTCAGGCGAAGAATATTGTCGTTACTGACTGACTATCACCACTACTACTATTCTGCATCAAAACACTGCAAAGACAGAATCCTCCATCGGCCACTTTTGTTGGCCGTATTGCAACATCTTCTGCTTCCTCCGCCTCTTCACCCAAGCACACACACACACCCATCGATGGTTGATTGTTTGTTTGTATTGTTGTAGCTCTCGGAGCCTCTCTTGGTGTTTCCCTTTCTCCCTTTGCGTATTCCCTACCTGTGGCAGTGGCACTGCTGTCGATTTGCAACAGTCAAGTGGTTCAGTCGTTGATGCTAAGGCTGAGGTTGCTGCTACAGCTGTTGTGTTGCAGTTTACTAGTGCGGCACCAAATAGACTGATTTTTTGCGCCGAATTGGCAAGCTACATGATTTTACTTTCACTGCGCTAAGCAAAACTTGCAGCTGTAAACAAAAAGGAAAAACTCCGTCCCTAGCAGTAAACCACAGTGCTGAGGGACCACTAACAAAATCATGTAGCTCGCCAATTCGGCGCAAAGAATCAGACTAGCACCAAAAGTACCAATTCGGTAGTGGCAGTAAAGAAAGAAAAAAGTGTACAAAACAGCCATCACAGGCTGCAACACTGCAGCACTGAGTCAACAATGCGCTCACACGCGTTTGCACGCAATTGTCATTGGATGTGCTTTCACTTGACACCAGTAGCGGCCAAACACTGCATCGACGGTCATTTTCAGTGCCAGTGTCCCCAGTTCTTTTTAACTATCTTTTTCTGTTTTTTCGTCAATTTGACTGCAAAGCAGAGCAAAAATGTTTGTCGTTTCATAACAAAGCAGTTAACACTGTCGCACATTATCGTCTGCTTGTTGCAAACATTGTGCAGAGAAAACAGACGATGCAAGCACGCGCACACACACACAAGTTTGACACTTGACGGAGTTTATCTCTGCGTCGGCATTGTGTGTTTGCCACTGTGTGCACTGGTACCACGGCAATACTGAACAACACTAGACTCAACAAAGTGAATCGCAATTACAACGTCATCAGCGATTAAGTGCTAAACCGTCTTTTCCTTGTTTAAGAAAAATATTCCAAAAAGCTTTATGTTTTGAAATTTTTTTAAAATTTTCATTTGAATGTTTTTGTGTTATTGTCAATCTTGTTAGCAACAAAACCCTAAAAATAAATATTTTTAATGAGCTCAAATGTAAACGTCATATTTGTTTTGTTTACATAGATGTTTTGATTAAAATAGAACTTTTCCAGACAGTTATTTTTCACCGTGTCTGCTCGTCATTGTTGATGCTACACACTTTTGATAATTATCAATTTTTTAATGAACATGTCAATTTAACACCTTTTGTTGTTGTTGTTTCTGTTGATGATGATGCTGTTGTTTTGCCAATAAGTTTAATTAGTCAGCAAACACCGATATTCTCTCTTCATTGTTCGCCTCACGTAGGCGCTAATTGTTAGAGCACAGCATTTAATCTCTCATTATCACACGTTTATCGACATACACACACCAGCGCTGCGTATCGTTTCTCCGCTCTTTGTGCGGTACATCATCAGTTTTTTTAATGTTTTGCTTGTTTCCATTTCAACACCGAGACTACAGTTGATTGAAAATTAAGCTGAAACGATCGATGTCAGTCAGCATTGATAAGGCTCATCTGAAAGCTAAGGTTTGTTTGTTTTGATAAAAAGTAGAAACGAGCTTTTTAACTACAACAAAACACCAAACTGTTTACCACTTTTCTTTAAGATGGACAAGTTTTGCAACCAGATCGCCTGTCTGATAGTCACCTACCCCTCCACCTTTGGCGTCTTCGACGAGAACATTCGCAAAATCTGCGACATGATTCACTCGTGCGGCAGCGCCCAGGTGTACCTGGACGGCGCCAACATGAACGCCCAGGTGGGCATTTGTCGACCGGGCGACTACGGCAGCGACGTCTCCCACCTCAACCTCCACAAGACCTTCTGCATTCTACACGGCGGCGGCGGACCGGGCATGGGACCGATTGCCGTCAAGAAGCACCGTAAATGGCTTGTAACGGAGGGTGCTTTTTTTCCGCTCGTTTAACATTTTTATTCATTTCTTTTTCATAATTTCCTTTTTCTCATTATCTTTCTTTCTTTCTTTTCTTTTTCTCCACTATTTGAATTGTCTGTTTATCTTTGCACTGTTTTGCTGCAATAATCATCATCATCATCATTTTTAATATCTTCACTACCACCACCTCTACTACTACAAAACCAACAACAACCACAGTGTCCAAGTTTCTGCCTTCTCACCCGATCGTCGCCGAGGACGTCAGTCGAGTGCCGAAAAGCTTCGGCGCCGTCTCCGCCGCCCCCTGGGGCTTTGCGGCCATTCTGCCGATCAGCTGGGCGTACATCAAGCTGATGGGCGCCCGCGGCCTGCGCCACTCCTCGGAGATCGCCATCCTCAATGCGAACTACATGGCGGCGGTGCTACGGGACCACTACAAGGTGCTGTGCGCCGGCAAAAACGGCACCGTTGCCCACGAGTTCATCTTCGACACGCGCGACCTGAAGAAGACCTCTGGCGTGAAGGCGATGGACACTGCGAAACGCCTGCAGGACTACGGCTTCCACGCGCCGACCGTCTCCTTTCCGGTGGCAAACACGCTGATGATCGAGCCGACCGAGTCGGAGGACAAGGGCGAGCTGGA